TCTGTAGTCATACAGTGTTCATGTTAGTGTTACTTCCTGTCTGTAGTCCATACCGTGTTCCTGTTAGTGTTTACTTCCTGTCTGTAGTCCAATACCGTGTTCCTGTTAGTGTTACTTCCTGTCTGTAGTCCATACAGTGTTCCTGTTAGTTTTACTTCCTGGTCTGTAGTCCATACAGTGTTCCTGTTAGTGTTTACTTCCTGTCTGTAGTCCATACAGTGTTCCTGTTAGTGTTTACTTCCTGTCTGTAGTCCATACTGTGTTCATGTTTAGTGTTGACTTCCTGTCTGTAGTCCATACAGTGTTCCTGTTAGTGTTTACTTCCTGTCTGTAGTTCATACAGTGTTCATGTTTAGTGTTTACTTCCTGTCGGTAGTTTATACAGTGTTCATGTTAGTCTTTACTTCCTGTCTGTAGTCCATACAGTGTTCATGTTAGTGTTTACTTCCTGTCTGTAGTCCATACAGTGTTCCTGTTAGTGTTTACTTCCTGTCTGTAGCCCATACAGTGTTCATGTTAGTGTTTACTTCCTGTCTGTAGTCCATACAGTGTTCACGTTAGTGTTTACTTCCTGTCTGTAGTCCATACAGTGTTCCTGTTAGTGTTTACTTCCTGTCTGTAGTCCATACAGTGTTCATGTTAGTGTTGACTTCCTGTCTGTAGTCCATACTGTGATCCTGTTAGTGTTACTTCCTGTCTGTAGTTCATACAGTGTTCATGTTCTAGTGTTTACTTCCTGTCTGTAGTCCATACCGTGTTCATGTTAGTGTTTAGTCCTGTCTGTAGTCCATACTGTGTTCATGTTAGTGTTTACTTCCTGTTACTCCTGTCGGGTAGTCCATACAGTGTTCCTGTAGTGTGTTTACTTCCTGTCCTGTAGTCCAATACCCGTGTTCATGTTAGTGTTTACTTCCTGTTGTAGTCTCATACCTGTGTTCATGTTAGTGTTTACTTCCTGTCCTGTTAGTCCATCACTAGTGTTTCATGTTAGTGTTACTCTTCCTAGTCTGTAGTCCATACAGTGGTTCATGTTAGGGTTACTTCCTATCTGTAGTCACCATGACCGTGTTCATGTAGTGTTACTCCTGTCTGTAGTCCATACAGTGGTTCCTGTTAGTGTTACACTTTCCTGTCTGTAGTCCATACAGTGTTCCTGTTAGATTGTTTATCTTCCTGTCTGTAGTCCAATACAGGTTCCTGGTTAGTGTTCTACTTCCTGTCTGTAGTCCATACAGTGTTCATGTTAGTGTTTACTTCCTGTCTGTAGTCCATACAGTGTTCCTGTTAGTGTTTACTTTCCTGTCTGTAGTCCATACAGTGTTTCCTGTTAGTGTTTATCTTCCGTCTGTAGTCCATACAGTGTTCCTGTTAGTGTTCACTTCCTGTCTGTAGTCCATACAGTGTTCCTGTTAGTGTTTACTTCCTGTCTGTAGTCCATACAGTGTTCCTGTTAGTGTTTACTTCCTGTCTGTAGTCCATACAGTGTTCATGTTAGTGTTTACTTCCTGTCTGTAGTCCATACAGTGTTCCTGTTAGTGTTTACTTCCTGTCTGTAGTCCATACAGTGTTCCTGTTAGTGTTTACTTCCTGTCTGCCTTCTTCTGGTGATTTATCTGACGTACAGTAGAGCGCTCTGTCTTTTAACCTTTTTTCCTTTCTCTTTCTTGATCCTCCTTAGCAACGGTCTTTATAGTCCTTGACAGCAGTCTGTACTACTGTATTAACAACGTGTCACGTGTTCTGAATTGACCAATCAGAATCGAGTATTCAACTAAGCCGTGTAATAAAAGTTGTTAGTAGCCTTAAGGGCCTACACAGTTGTTATGCTATACCACATTGCCTTTCACTGGATGTATAATGAGCTGCACTAAACTACATTTTAGCATTTTAAATACCTAGCCATTCTTTTGCGGTTATTTTGGTGAAAGTAACTCAAAAGTAATATAACATTTATTTATTTTTATTTTATTTAACCTTTATTTAACCAGATAAAAGCATTGAGATAAAATCTAATTTTCAAACCTGCTGACCTGGCCAAGAAGGCAGCAACGTTACACATAACACAGACATATGAAATACAGAGAACACAACTAAGAAAACAAAAGAGGAAAAAGCAGTCACTACATTGTGCACATCAGGACAGTAAGAAAGGTGCTACTTATTACTGCAAGAGCAGCTGGTAGTGTGACAAAAGTAGTGTGACTCATTACATTTCAGAGACAGTAATATTGTAATGTAACTTATTACTTAAAAGAGACAGTAATAAGTAATATGTACTGTATTACATTTAACTGGCCCAACACTGAACAGGACACATGTTTCTTGATGCTGATTCTAAACATCTGTCTGCAATATTGTGTAGGGTTTCTCTCTGAGTGGGAGCAGCATGAGTTTAAAAAGATTTCCATGTACTGTTGTCAGTGTTTGAGGCAGAATGAGTTACAGTCTGATTGTTGTCTGAGTTCTCGTCATCAGAGAAAAATGCAGTGCATGTCAGAACCGGTCTAACAAGTCGTGACTGCTTTTCTGTCTAACTCTTAATAGTCTGAATAAGGCAGGTGAGGGAGAGTCTGGCAGGCTGACAGCTACAACCTGTAAGGCCGGTTTCCACGTGACTCTGACGTGTTTTTACTCTCTGGATTTCTGAGGGTGTGAAGGCGTCCTCAGATCAGATGCAGGCAGACTCAGGACTGAAGAGGAAGAGATGAGCAGAGTTTCCTTCTCACCTGAAGAGAGTCTGTGAGTAGACCTGAAGAGAGTCTGTGAGTAGACCTGAAGAGAGTCTGTGAGTAGACCTGAAGAGAGTCTGTGAGTAGACCTGAAGAGAGTCTGTGAGTAGACAGGCAGTGATATCATAAAACTGTTAATGAACGCATTCAAACACTTGGTAGTTTTTTTTTTACCAGCTGTTCTGTATTCACCTTGCAGGTGCAACTGTGTGGCTTTTATCCTGGATAAAGTTTTTAAGTCATGGATGTTAAAAGTTGAACGTCTTCATATTTGTCTAACATGATAGTTTACTATTCAATCATGAAGTATGACGCTGCGCTGTCAGTACGCTTGTCCATGTTTGTGAAACCCTGGTTGATTTACTGAGTTGATAACCAGCGTCGTAGGACCACTTAGCGAGATCTCGTTTGTTAGGGTTTGTTCAAATAACTCAAACATACCCAGGGTCTGTTTGAACATCTGTCTGAAATATTGTGTAGGGTTTCTCTCTGAGTGAAAGCAGAATGAGTTTAGAAAGATCTCAACGTACAGATGGAGCATCTTATTTCAGACAGTTTGAAACGCGAGGGTCGTGATTGGTCCGTGATCGGCCCGTGATCGGCCCGTGATGAAGAGCCGGCCCCCAGTCTGATTTGATACCGCCCCCGTGATAAATAAATGTAATTATTGTGAAGCCAGCTGCAATGGATCATTGATCCACCAGGGGGTGCAGTGGGGTTCCACACTGGAGCTCATGTGAAATCAACTTTGATACAGTAAGCTGGATGTACAGTATGTCTGGTACTAATGTATAGCGGATCTTTGTTAAGATCCATATGTCACGGATAGGATCATAGTCTGTGCTAAATAAGACATGTAATCATTTACAAAACATCACCATGTTGTTATTTAACAAAATAATGTTGTTTAGTCGAAAAAAACGAACGAGAGGAAATGCAGCCCGGCTCTCGATTTTTAATCCTAATTTAATCATCATCTTCACCACGATCATTTATGTTTATGTTCACCGAATTGACATGAAATCACTGACAAATATGAATATAATGTATTCAACTTCATTAAAATGTTATTAACGTGCCTAAACTCAGTAATTCACTAAAAATATTTATATTTTAATGGAGCCTTGTCAGGCACATCAAGATCCGCGTAGCGGAAGGATCTTGATCCCTGGGTGTTATTTTTCCCCATAATGACCAAGTCGCTGCAAATTATCCCGCTTATTACATGGCCACATTCTCAACAAAGTACGACATGACTCCCAATATTAATTGAAATGCTTTTATGGATTTAGAAAATGTTTTTATTGATTTAAAAAATAGTTGTATGTATTGATTTAAATTGACATGCATCCGCTAAGAAAAATAGTCCGTTGTTACCGTTTTTTAAACAATCAGAATGAAACGGCAGCTCTCAGCTGTGTGTTTACACACCTAATGGCCCATCACCCACAGCTCTCTCCCGCCCCTGATCTTTCTTTTCCAACAGTTAAGTTAACTGTAGGTTACTCTGAGTGACAAGCTTACTAACTAATTGGCCATCGGAATGTGTGTGTCCCAACCCCCCCCTGTGATATCTCTTCTCCAGCAGTCTGTAGGTTTGTGTTCGCATATTTATGCTGTCGCAGTTCCTGTTGTTTCTATCGCGCATTGCCGGTATGAAAGGGTCTGTGCCGGAAATATCAAGATAACAAGGCAGGGTCCGTTACAGTTTGTTTTCATCTGATTTCAAATAAACAAAGTCTTGGCTTTCAGAATATTAAACTTGTTTCGACAAATTTAGATGATAAATACAACTATGAAGCTTGTAACGGCATAATTACTTAAGCGGAGAACGGAGTAATTTAACGTTACAGCAGGCATAACAACAGCCGGTGTTTATTTTATTATTATATATAGTCGTTATTCATTTGTTTTAAAGCTCAATAAGGAAGATTTAAACTTTCACACACGTTGACCGGCGAAAAACTCTGCCCGGTTCCTTCGGCCCCCACCACGTTGAATAAACAGAAGGCTGCTTTTGTGGAGGAAGTTACAGCGCTACGTACGCACATTTAGCTTTCGGTGTTACTGACCTGAGATGTTTTTATTACATGAATTAATTACATTGACCATACCGTTCACCATCCCCCACCCACCTACTGTATGTTGATTTTTGACATGTAAATAGGTACCTACCCCCCTCTGAGTGAATACCTGTTGTACCTGTCCGGGGCTAAGCCCATAGGACTATGCTCTGATGTCATCACCCTCGCACATTTGTCATATGTTTACAAAAAACGATGTTAACACTTTCTCGTTCTTAATATATGCTATATTTAGGGTCGATATGTGTTGAATTTACTTTAAAATAGCAGATCACTGTGACCGGATATAGTTTTTTCGGCTTAGTGAACGTGTGTTCCTTCCCCCCCGTTGACAATTCACGAGCGTCTAAACTCTCTCCCTCCACCCCCCCCCCCCCCCCCCCCCCCGTTGCACCTTCTAACAGAGCCCCCCCCACATATCAAATCCCAATTTAGCCCCTGGCCTCTGGAGCAGAAATTAAAGAGTTTTAAAAATGTTTACGTTTTGGTAAGTTTTTAGGAAAATGTTGTAATATTGCAACGTTGGCCTTAGGTGGGAGTAGAATTTCTGTATTTCTACTCACATTGTCTGAATAAATATATTGAACAACTAAGGGTTAATTTGCAGGATTGATTGCTTACTTAGCCCTATATCAGTATATAGCATGAATAATAATCACACATCATAAAATCCGACGACTTCTCAGTTGCAGTGGGTGACATTATTGTCACAAGTAAGAAGGAAATTACATACCTAGGATCTATTCTTGAGGCAAACCTCTCCTGTGACAAAATGGCATCCAATGTAATAAAAAAAGTCAATCAAAGAACTAGATTCCTATACCGGATCTCCTCTCTGGTAAACAAAAACACCCTGAAAACTCTGGCAGGAGCACTCATTCAAGGGTACTATGACTATGCTTGCACGTCATGGTACCATAGCACCTCCAAGGCGCTAAAAATAAAACTTCAAACATCGCAAAATAAACTGGTCAGACTACTGCTTGACCTTTCATCTAGAACCCACCTCACCTCTGCCCACTTTGACAACCTAGGATGGCTTAGAGTAGACGACAGAGTACAGCTACTTGCAATGGGCCTGGTCTACAAGATCCACTACACCTCTATGGTACCCATGTACATGTCAAAATTCTTCCCAAAGGTCAAGGAATACCATGATCATAACACCAGAGGGAGCTCCACAAATCATGTAAAACCCAGATTTGGCACAAAAAAAGGGGAATACACGTTTCGCAATTATGCCACATCAAGGTGGAACGCTCTTCCCACAACTGTAAAGGAAAGTAAAACTATACTTACCTTCAAAACCTCTCTTAAAGAGCACCTTCGGGGGAAAGCATTGCAAAACTGGCCCCGGTAATGGTACAAATCTCAAGCTGTCGTACAATGGACAGCTTCCCCCCCCCATCTATGTATATACTCGTATTTTAGACTCTGTTACTAACTGTATATCTGTAGACTTGGTATGTCTTAAATGTCCGGTTAGGATGTATTAGAACGAAATCTAAAATGAAAATTGTAAATAAGCCATCTGTATGTAAAAAACCACCTGTATGTAAATTGTAAATAAGCCATCTGTATGTCAAATATGTCTTATATGTCTTAAATGATATGATGAATTGGAAATGGGGGACCCTGATGTAAACAAGACGAAAGTCTTTCTCTGGTCTGCATCCCCTTAACAATTGTATGTTTTGAGCTGTACTGTACTGTACCCAATATACAAGCTGTTAATAAACTTTTCAATCAATCAATCAATCAAACATCACTCATATTTGTTATGAATAATCATTTATCATTTATTAAATAGTAAGTCGCTTTGGATAAAAGCGTCAGCTAAATGCAATTTATGAAAGCCTCACTCAGGACTCAAGTGTTTTTATTGCTCTTGGGGCATTAAAAACAAGATTTTAACTTTAATTTTAACTTGTTTTTCCTATTTTCAATGATATATCAAAAACACATTTCTTATCAGTTTACAAAAGACCTCGTTTTAATTAAAGGGGACCTATCATGCAAAATGCACTTTTGTACGTCTTTTCTACATGAATATGTGTCCCCGGTGTTCCAGGGAACTCACCAAGTGTCAGAAAACACAACCCTCTCTATTTTCCTCCATACCCAAATCTCTAAAAAAGGGGCTGCAACGGATCTGATAAAAACTGATCCAGATTTGAACACTGTCCTGACGTCAGGACGGTGGCGCTACGGCTATTGGGCCAACTCCACTAATCAGGAGGAGACAGACACGGCCATTGCCGTTCGAAAGCGCTGGAGACGCTGTAGTACATATGCCAGGCCAGTAGATGGTGCTGTTCTCACTGAATCTGCCCTTGCAAAAACAGAGCTAAAAAATGTCAAATTGAGCAAAATGAGGCATGGCTAAAATGCATGATCTGTTTGGTATTTTGAAAAAAAAAAAGTATAAATATGCCTTATATAGGTATGGTCCTACACTATATTATTCAAATATAGCATGATAGGTCCACTTTAAAGTCCGTAACTGCTTTCATGTAATTAACGTACATATTTTAAGCCAAACAATTATATATTTTTTAAACCTAACAAATACGTTTTGTTGAATGGTTACTGAGCGCAGTTCAGTTGTGTGGGATATTTTGTGGGGGGCAGGGCTGTACATTACCTGTGGATGTACATTGAAGTGACTGTTTGTGTGTGCAGGTGGAGGCTCTGCTATGGATCAGTGTGAGGACAGAGAGGAGGAAGCCCCCCCCTCTAAAAGCTCTGGGGAACATGACAGCCAGACCAAAGCTCAGAGGTGAGATCTCCACCTGTCCATCACTCTTCTCCATGTCACAGCTCAGCACTCGTTATTCACTCAAAGCTCTGTGTGTTGTGTTCCAGCCCAGAGCAAACACCACATCCTGCTGGACCTGGACCTGAACCTGGACCTGGACCTGGACCTGGACCTGGACCTGGACCTGGACCTGGACCTGGACCTGAACCTGGACCTGGACCTGAACCTGGACCTGGACCTGGACCTGGACCCAGTAACCAGCTTACTGGCAGAGACCAGAACCAGGTGTGTGGTCGCCGGCTGAGTCACTCTCTTATTTCTCTCATGGTACTTATTTGTAGCAGTAGGTCAACTTGGTTTGCAGAAGTAAGAAAAGGTATCCATTGTGACACATGCTTCATACAATATAGACAACAGACACATCTTTAAAAAGTCCCTCTGGCTCCAGAACATCCACACAAAGCTGTTTTTAAACCTCTTGGTGCTACACCTTTAGGAAGATTAACCTCCGGCCCGAAGGAAGAAGCTGAAGCTGTTACGACTGGGGCACACACAAAAATGATAGGACCCAAATGCACGACTCCAGACAAAAGATGATTCCAAAAAAGGATTTACTTGTGGTGTTTTTTACAAGATAATACAAAACGCTCAAAAGACTTCTCAAAAAGCTAACCTAAATTCACCGTAGCACAGAACACAACTGGCTGACAGGCAACACAAGAATCAAAACGATCTGGCACTTGGCACAGAGAAAACAGGGAATAAATACACACACAAGGGACTCCACAGGTGCAAACAATAAGGGCGGGGCAGGTAATCAGGTCAATTGGCACACCTGACCAGGTAGGAGTCAAACTACCTGAAATTAGAGAAGAAACTCACAAAGTAAAACAGGAAATGACAGACAACAAAAAAGGGTTGGCAGACGCGGACTTGACAATATGAACTAAACAGAGAAATAATACTAACAAATCTGGCGAGACACAACAGTACCCCCCCCTCTACGGCCGACTCCGGACGGCCCAGAGTCCTGTGGATTTAGCCTGAAAAAGTCATTTATCAGGCTCTGATCCACAACGAAGCTTGCTGGTACCCACGACCGATGTTCTGGACCATATCCTTTCCAGTCTACCAGGAACTGTCGGCCACGTCCTCTCTTCCTGACTGCTAGCAGTTTCTTGACGTCGTAGATCAGACCGCCGTCTAACATCCGGGGGGGAGGAGGGGGCTTGGATGGAGGAACCAAACGACTCTCACGAACCGGTTTGACTTTAGCAACATGAAAGGTAGGATGAACTCTCAGGGACCTGGGCAGGCGCAGGCGAACAGCCACCGGGTTAATAACTTTGGTTATGGGAAACGGACCCACAAACCTCGGAGCCAGCTTCCTGGAGGCCACACATAGGGGTAGATCTCTCGTAGATAGCCAAACCTTCTGCCCGGGTCTGTAGGCAGGTGCAGGACGACGATGTCGATCTGCTGCTTTCTTCATGCGAGCAGCACTCTTCAGGAGAATCTGGCGGGCTCCTGCCCAGACTCTGCGACACCGCCTCACCAGGGCATGTGCTGATGGGACAGTCACTTCCTTCTCTACTTCTGGAAAAAGAGGAGGTTGGTAACCATAGGCGCAGTGAAACGGGGAGAGACCCGTGGCAGATGTAGGTTGGGTGTTGTGGGCATACTCCACCCATATCAGCTGCTTGCTCCAAGTTGTGGGATTCTGGGACACCAGACACCTTAAACATGTCTCCAGTTCCTGGTTGATCCTCTCTGATTGACCATTAGCCTGTGGGTGGTAACCAGATGTGAGGCTGGCAGTGGCTCCTATCAGGCTGCAGAATTCCTTCCAAAACTGGGAAACGAACTGCGGCCCACGGTCTGACACCACATCTCGAGGAAAACCATGCAACCTGAAAACATGAGATAAAAGAGCTTCTGCTGTCTCTTTAGCAGAGGGCAATTTAGGCATGGGGATAAAGTGAGTCATCTTGGTAAATCTGTCAACAACAGTGCAGATGGTGGTGTTACCTGCAGAGGGCGTCAGTCCAGTGACAAAATCCAGCGAGATGTCAGACCATGGGCGGCTTGGAATGGACAAAGGTTGCAGTAGACCCATAGGAGACTGGGTAGAGGTCTTATTCCGAGCACAGGTAGTGCAGGCTGCCACATACTCAGTTACCTCCTTCTCCATTTTAGGCCACCAAAACCTTTGTTTTATCATGTACATAGTTCTTTTAATACCTGGATGACATGTTAGTACAGACGTGTGAGCCCAGTGAATCACGTCAGAGCGGACAGATGGGGGAACAAAGAGACGGTTAGGAGGACCTCCGCTGGGTACAGTTTTTCCCTCTAATGCTTGGTTTACCTTAGCCTCAACTGGCCATGTCACCCCTCCTATTACCCGAGTAGGTGGTAGAATGGATTCGGTCTCCTTGGAAATGGCCTCTGGGTCAAAAAGCCTGGATAACGCGTCAGGTTTGGTGTTCTGTAAGCCAGGACGGTAGGAGAGAGTGAAGTTAAACCTATTGAAAAATAAGGTCCATCGTGCCTGTCTGGAGTTTAACCTCTTAGCCTTGCGTATGTACTCCAAATTTGTGTGGTCTGTCCACACAATAAATGGCTGTCCTGCCCCCTCTAGCCAGTGCCTCCACTCATCCAGTGCTACCTTCACGGCTAATAACTCTCTATTGCCTACATCATAGTTTCTTTCAGCAGCAGACAATTTACGTGAAAGGTAGGCACACGGATGGAGCTTACTGTCTTTCTCTGCCCTCTGTGAGAGGACCGCCCCGATGCCCTCGTTGGAGGCATCCACCTCCACCGTGAACTGTCGTTGAGGATCCGGGATGGTAAGTATTGGAGCTGTTGTGAACACCTTTTTTAACTTCTGGAAAGCTTGGTCTGCCTGTGGAGTCCACACAAACTGAACAGAAGGAGAGGTGAGTACATGCATAGGTGCGGCAATAGAACTAAAATTCCTAACAAACTTCCTGTAGAAGTTTGCAAATCCAAGGAACTGTTGGACTTTTTTCCTGGAAGAGGGTGTGGGCCAATCAGCCACAGCGCTCACTTTAGCAGGATCCATCATTATCTGGTCAGGACCCAGGATGAAACCCAGAAATGAAGTGGAACTGACGTGGAACTCACATTTTTCAGCCTTTACATAAAGTTGATTGTCCAACAACTTCCTTAATACTTGGCGAACATGAGGAACGTGTGAATCCTCATCACGGGAAAAAATCAAAATATCATCAAGATAGACAAAAACAAAATGATTCAAAAACTCCCTCAACACATCATTTATGAGAGCCTGAAAAACTGCAGGTGCGTTTGTTAGACCAAAAGGCATTACCAAATATTCATAATGTCCGCTTGGAGTGTTAAAACCAGTCTTCCACTCGTCCCCCTCCCGTATCCTTACCAAGTGGTAAGCGTTACGCAGGTCTAGTTTTGAAAAAACTCTAGCACCTTTCAAAAGTTCAAACGCTGAGGCCATAAGCGGGAGGGGGTACCTGTTTTTGATGGTTATGTCGTTTAGGGGGCTGTAGTCGATGCAGGGTCTCAGGGATCCATCCTTCTTCTCGACGAAGAAAAAACCAGCTCCGGCGGGAGATGACGAGGGACGGATGAGGCCCGTTTTGAGAGAGCCGTCTATGTACTCCCTCATAGACTCTCTCTCTGGAGCAGAGAGAGAGTACAGTCTTCCCTTGGGCAAGGGGGACCCAGGCAGGAGATCGATGGCGCAGTCATAGGTGCGATGAGGAGGAAGGGATGTCGCTTTAGTCTTATTGAACACCTCCTTGAGATCTCGGTAGCAGCTGGGCACGTTCGAAAGGTCGGGGAAGTCTGAGTCTTGGCTACTTTCATCTTCCATGTCAGTGTCTATAATGGGCTCTCTCATAGTTTCAGCAGTTTTTTCCCTGAAACACGAATGAGAACAGTCGCTTCCCCACCCCAAAACTTTACCAGTCCGCCAATCAATGTGAGGGTTATGTCTACACAACCAGGGATAGCCCAGAATTACTGCATGTTGTGCAGAATCAAACAGATGAAAAGTCATATGCTCTGTGTGTTCATGATCAATAGTTACTTTAAGAGGCATGGTTCTATGAGTCACTTTGCACATGAGAGTACCGTCAAGAGCGCTAGCCTCAAGTGTCTGAGTCAAAGGCACGGAGGCAATTTTCAAACGTTTAGCTAACCCCCAGTCCATTAAATTAGCGTCAGCCCCTGAATCTACAAGTACTTTCAAACATATGCTGTGCTCATTATTACTAACCTCTACTTGGGTCATGGAACGTGAAGGAAAATCTGCGGTTGTCAGTCGGCTCACCAGCACCCTCCGTCTTACTGGTGAGCCCCGTCTTTTAACGGGCAGGCTCCCAGGAAATGTCCCTGCTTCCCACAGTAGAAACATAAACGGTCCCGGAGACGCCGCTGCTTTTCCTCGGGAGACAGCCTGGCCCTTCCGAGCTGCATGGGTTCCTCTTCTGTGGTCCACGAAGCAGGTTTCACGGTAGAGGAGGAATAGTGGGTACGAAATCCGGGCCGTCGTGGAGATCGTGCAGGAGGTGAGCTTCCTCGTTTAGCTAGCGGAGGTGACGCTTTCCTGGCTTTCTCCCTCTGTCGCTCTTGCAGCCGAGTGTCTGTGCGTATAGCCAAGGCGATCATACTGTCCAAATCCGGCGGAAGCTCAAGAGGAACAAGAAGATCCCGCACACAGTCACTGAGTCCGCTGAGAAACATATCATATATATCTTCATTCCATCCACTGTCCGTGGCCAAAGTGCGAAAGTCAATGGCGTAATCAGACACACTCTGATTCTGCTGGGAGATCTGTGTCAGGGCTCTGGCAGCTTCTCTCCCCGGTGTGGTTCGGTCAAAGATTTTTTTTATAGTCTCAATGAACAGTTGTAATGATTTACACACCGGAGAGTTCCGTGCCCACTCCGCCTAAATTCACCGTAGCACAGAACACAACTGGCTGACAGGCAACACAAGAATCAAAACGATCTGGCACTTGGCACAGAGAAAACAGGGAATAAATACACACACAAGGGACTCCACAGGTGCAAACAATAAGGGCGGGGCAGGTAATCAGGTCAATTGGCACACCTGACCAGGTAGGAGTCAAACTACCTGAAATTAGAGAAGAAACTCACAAAGTAAAACAGGAAATGACAGACAACAAAAAAGGGTTGGCAGACGCGGACTTGACAATATGAACTAAACAGAGAAATAATACTAACAAATCTGGCGAGACACAACAGAAGCTCAGCTTGCAGGGGGTGGGAGTCTTCATTAAACATGGAGTTAGACAGCCTCTGTAACGGTCTGATGAGCAGGGGCTCCAGGTTTAGCTGAGACTCACCAATCAGTCTGCTAGACCACTTTATGATCTGACTGAGACACCTTCTGCTCTTTAAAGACAGGTTACCAAACCAAGACATTAAAGGAAAAGACAGAACTGACTGTGCTGACTGTCTTCAAGTTTAGGATTGACTTCCTGAATGTCTTTCGTGAAGTCTAAGGTATTAAAACAAGTTTAGAAACGATTAGGGTATTTACTAACTCGACATCTGAATTGAAGTCATCCAAAGTCACATGGCAGCTGTTCTTTGGATCCTCAAGGCCTGTTGTGGTTTTCAAAAGTACAAAGTACAATACAACAACATATAGTTCTGTAAGATAAAGATTTTCTTTCTCTGTATCTTTGCTCTGCAGGGAGAAAAGATGGAGACACCTAGAGAAGTCCTATTAAGAAATTTAGAAGATTTGGGGGAAAATGAGTTTATAAAATTCAAGTGGTACCTGCAGGGGAAGGTCCTAGGATTCCCAAAAATCCCAAAGAATCGACTACAGAAAGCAAACCAGATGGACACAGTGGATCTGATGCTTCTGCACTACTGCATACACACCTTTAAAGTAACCAGAGAAGTTTTGAAGAAGATCCCGAGGAATGATCTAGAAGAGGAATTATCAAAAATCCCATCAGACCCTAACGGTAGGTCTTTAAAAAACAGAGTGTATCAAAAGATAACTTTTTTTATTTTTCATAGCCATGTATCATGTTTTTAGACTCCTGATACACCCCTCAGAGAACCATCACCTCCACATGGTGTCAGGGTTGAGGTACCCCTGAAAGCTGAGGGGTCAGGGTCACTAGTTTCTGGCAGGGTCACCCTGTTGGTTCCAGGTGAGGGGTAGTAAAACCTTTATAGATCAGCATTTTAGGAATCCAAGGACCCGGGGGTCCAGGCGAGAACTCTACCACTGAACCACCAATGCTATATTAACGAGTTTCTCCTGGTGGGACATTGGAGATATGTAATACAAGTGGGTGATGCTAAAAGCCAGTGTTGGGGAGGGGATGGATCAGAGGAATCACCAGAAAGTCATCAGTTGTGTCTGAAATGGCAGTGAGTCCTTGAGTGCTACGTTTACCCAGGAAACGGACAATTCTGTTTGGAATGAGGTTTGTCCTGCCGAACTGTCAGATATCTCAGGAGGGGGAGTCATGGATAAACCCCGGCTGTTTTCCACAGTGTAGGTTAGCTGCTGACTCAGTCTCAGGATGTTGAATGGGACTGATGCACCCTGAGTTCAGGAGGCAGAGCTGAGGGCTTGGAGAACAGCTGTTGTTGCTCAGGTGGTCAGAAGGGGCCACAGGGACACACTGTGGAGGTTTGTCCCGACATGAGATTGGACAGTTGTGATTTACATTCCTGTTCAATGCTACATGGAGGCAGACAGTGTCATTTTCTATGTTTTAAAGGGGACTGTAGGGTGAGCTCTAAACATCAGAGGAGCACATTGCTCAGCCTCACTGGGATTGCTCACTGCAGATTCTGTCCTACTCATTACTAAAGGCCCAGCCCCCTACAGGTGGAAGGAGGTATCATTTGCCGTCCAACATGACTTGGTGAGGAAGGGACAGGTTATTACTGTGACCCCCCAGGGTGTCTTGTAGATGGTAGGCTACTGCAGGAGTATACTGCGACTCACTAAGAGCCATCCACTTCCTGTATAACTGGAGAGAGAGCTGTGTCCACACCCTCAGTGGGTGCTGGGATCTGCTGGTATCGTGCCTCATCTCCCAGCAGCAGGAATAAGAGTCAGTCAGGTTTAGGGCCATGGTTCTCTGTGGGAAAACTGATGGTTCTCTCTGGGGTGAACTTATACTGGACAATGTACAGATAATTATGCAACAAGATCCAGTGACTTGATATAAGGAAAATAACCTGCTATTTTGTCAGAAATGGGTCCAATTAGAAGGAAATATGTTGATGTGTCTTTCATGTAAATGTCTTTTTTATTCATTCAGATATTCTCACCAAGTGCCAGGGTGAACTCAAATCTAACCTGAAGAAAACATATGAAAATATCAAATTAATGGAAAAATCTGAATCCCTACATAAAATCTACACGGAGATCTACATCACCAAGGGAGACACCGGAGAGGTCAACAAGGAACATGAGAACAGACAGATCGAACGAGCATCCAGGAAACCAGACAGATCAGAAACACCCATCAAACAAGAAGACCTCTTTAAAGGCTCAACTGAAAGAGGTAAACCAATCAGAGCAGTGATGACAAAGGGAGTGGCTGGCATTGGGAAAACAGTCTTAACACAGAAGTTCACTCTGGACTGGGCTGAAGGCAAAGCCAACCAGGACATCCAGTTCATATTTCCATTCACCTTCAGAGAGCTGAATGTGGAGAGAGAGAACAAGTACAGCTTGGTGGAACTTGTTCATCACTTCTTCTCTGAAACCAGAGATGCAGGAATCTGCAGGTTTGATCAGTTCCCGGTTGTGTTCATCTTTGACGGTCTGGATGAGTGTCGACCTCCTCTGGACTTCCACAACACTGACATCCTGACTGATGTCACAGAGTCCACCTCAGTGAATGTGCTGCTGACAAACCTCATCAGGGGGAAGCTGCTCCCCTCTGCTCGCCTCTGGATAACCACACGACCTGCAGCAGCCAATCAGATCCCTCCTGAGTGTGTGGACATGGTGACAGAGGTCAGAGGGTTCACTGACCCACAGAAGGAGGAGTACTTCAGGAAGAGATTCAGAGATCAGGAGCAGGCCCGCACCATCATCTCCCACATCAAGACCTCACGAAGCCTCTACATCATGTGCCACATCCCAGTCTTCTGCTGGATCTCTGCTTCAGTTCTGGAGGACATGTTGAAAACTGAGGGAGGAGAGCTGCCCAAGACCCTGACTGAGATGTACATCCACTTCCTGGTGATTCAGTCCAAAGTGAACGTCAAGTATGATGAAGAAGTTGAGACAGATCCACACAGGAGTCCAGAGAGCAGGAAGATGAAGATGATGGAGGCTCTGGGAAAACTGGCTTTTGAGCAGCTGCAGAAAGGCAACCTGATCTTCTATAAGTCCAACCTGAGAGAGTGTGGCATCGATATCAGAGCAGCCTCAGTGTACTCAGGAGTGTTCACACATGTCTTTAGAGAGGTGAGAGGAACGTACACGAACACAGTGTTCTGCTTTGTCCATCTGAGCGTTCAGGAGTTTCTGGCTGCTCTTCATGTCCATCTGACCTTCATCAACTCTGGAGACAACCTGATGGCCCCCTGGTGGTCTAAAGTCTTCAGACAAAAACCTAAACATCTCTACCAGAGTGCTGTGCACAAGGCCTTACAGAGTCCAAACGGACACCTGGACTTGTTCCTCCGCTTCCTCCTGGGTCTTTCAATGGAGACAAATCAGACCTTATTACAGGACCTGCTGACACAGACAGGAAGTAGCTCACAGACCAACCAGGAAACAGTGAAATACATCAAGAAAAAGATAAGAAAAAACCCATCTCCGGAGAAAAGCATCAACCTGTTCCACTGTCTGAATGAACTGAATGATCGTTCTCTAGTGGAGGAGATCCAACAGTCCCTGAGATCAGGACATCTTTCCACAGAGGATCTCTCTCCTGCTCAGTGGTCAGCTCTGGTCTTCATCTTACTGTCATCAGAAGAAGATCTGGAAGAGTTTGACCTGAAGAAATACTGTGCTTCAGAGGAGGCTCTTCTGAGGCTGCTGCCAGTGGTCAAAGCCTCCAGGAAAGCTCTGTAAGTGGAGATACAACTACATTAACTAGGAACAGTTTGAGACATGAGAATATAACTCTTTGTGTACACTGCTGATCTTTCCCCAGGCTGAGTGGCTGTAACCTGTCAGAGAGAAGCTGTGCAGCTCTGTCCTCAGTCCTCAGCTCCCAGTCCTCTAGTCTGAGAGATCTGGACCTGAGTGACAACGACCTGCAGGATTCAGGAGTGAAGAAGCTGTCTGCTGGACTGGAGAGTCCACACTGTGAACTGGAGACTCTCAGGTCAGAGTTCAGCTTTTTATTTTCAAACAGTTCAATTATTTCATCCAGCTTTTTGTTCATGCTGATAAAGATGGTCCACCTCTGATTTTCCTGCTCATGTGACCTTTTAAAGCACTGAGTTTACTGTATTCCCTGGTTCCAGACTGTCAGGCTGTCTGGTCACAGAGGAAGGCTGTGTTTCTCTGGCTTCAGCTCTGAGCTCCAACCCCTCCCATCTGAGAGAGCTGGACCTGAGCTACAATCATCTAGGAGACTCAGGAGCGAAGCTGCTGTCTGCTGGACTGGAGGATCCACTCTGGAGACTGGACACTCTCAGGTATGGACAGACTGACTGCAGGTTCCTCATATTTTTCTAATGTAATCTCTTTCATCTCTGGGCTTCCATCATGAAGGACGTCTCATTTCCCTTGATTATGTTCACAGCAGTGAGTTAACCTTGAAGTCTTATTACATGGAAACAGCCATTCAGTCCAAACACTTATCGAACTGCACCACCGTGAAATGTGATTGAATTGATAAAGACTCTCTGAATATCTTTACATCACTTCTTCTTCTTCTTCTTCTTCTTCTTCTTCTTCTTCTTCTTCTTCTTCTTCTTCTTCTTCTTCTTCTTCTTCTTCTTCTTCTTCTTCTTCTTCTTCTTCTTCTTCTTCTTCTTCTTCTGTGGTGGAGGTGTGTTTGAAGAGGGAAGAGGGATTTTCACTTTTGTTTCGTTTGTTTCTGTTTCAATCGTTTCTTTAACTGTATGATCTTTCGTTGGGATATTTGTACTCTTTGCGAGTACGGTTAATACTTTTTCGTTAGTGTTTTTCCGTGCCTCGAGGCGGGGATGGCGTCCTTCGGGGCGCCGCCGGTGTCTCTGAGACACGGAGTGCGGTTGGTGGCTCAGGCCGCAAGCACAGTGGAGCAGGTGCTGCTGGCTGTGGGGGATCAGGTGGGTCATGTAAACATCTCCTATGCTTCCCGCATGAACAAAGCGGTCGTGGTCTTTTTGAAAGACCAGAAATATGTGACGGAACTTATCGAGAGCGGATTAATGTTAAACGAGGAATTTATTCAAGTTTCACCGCTGGCGACACCGTCCACGCGGATCACTGTGTCTGGCGTTCCTCCGTTCATCCCGAATGAGGCGCTGGAACGGGAGCTGAAGCGTTTCGGTAAGTTTGCCAGTAATTTCCGCAGTGTTGCTCTGGGGTGTAAGGATGAAAAATTAAAACATGTCCAATCTCTGCGGAGACAGGTTTTCATGTTTCTGAATTGTCCCACTCAGACACTAGATGTGTCCTTCCGGGTGAGGCATGAAGAGGGTTTTTATATGGTTTATGCGAGCTCAGGGAACGTAAAGTGTTTTGAGTGCGGGGAGTCGGGTCATAAACGTGTTGCATGTCCACAGAGACGGCACGCCGCTCCGCCGGGTGCGGCTGAGCCCGGGGCAGCTGGGCCCGGGACAGCCGGGCCCGGGGCCGCTGGGGAGGCCGAGCCCGGGGTCGCTGGGGCAGCCGGGGCCGCTAGGGCCGCCGAGCCCGGGGCCGATGGGGCCGCCGAGCCCGGGGTTGCCGGGGCAGCCGGGCCCGGGGTCGCCGGAGCAGCCGAGCCTGGGGCAGCTGGGTCCGCGGAACCCGGTGTCGCGGGGGCTGCTGCTGCACCCGCCGGGGCCCCGGGGGCTGCGGATGAAGTAGGGATGAATATCGTGAGAGAGGAAATGGGGACTGTAGAGAGTGTGGTGAGTGTGAGAGGAAAACAGGTGGAAACAGGTAAACGGGTGGGAGATGATGTAGCAGGGCAGGTGAAGACCGGGGCTGTGGGACAGGTGGAGGCTGTTGGCACACAGCAGGAGCTGCCGTCTGGCTCTGGGCGGCAGACAGAGCTTCAACAGGCTGCAGACAGTAATGAGGTGACAGAGACACAGAGATGGACACAGACGGTGAGGGGGATTCTGACTGTGTTTCAGTTGCAGATAGTCTCTCTCAGAACGCAGAGATATATTCTTTGGAAGAGATGAATGTCTTTTTAGATGAGTCTTTTGGCAAGGCAGTGGAAGTGAGAGACTTTTTCCCTGACACTAACAAGTTTCTTCATACAGTGAGCACTCTTCAGAAAGTTGTAGGGTTAGACCTGCTGGATGAAAAGAAACGCTATCGTCTCAGGAAGCATGTAACTGCTATGAAAAAAGGTACGAAAGAAAGCAAAAGAGGGAGGAAACTGAAAAGGGTTAAATAAAATGTCAACATGATCATGCAACACTGGGTGTCTCCTCTCTGCTGTGTGTACCTGTCTGTTCTTTCTCTCTGTCTCCTTCCTCTAATGCAGGCTTTAAGGGTTGCTTCTTTAAACATGAACGGGGGTAGAAGTGCACAGAAAAGAGCTTTAGTGTTAGAGGTCTTTAATCAGAAAAAATTAGATGTGATATTTCTGCAGGAAACGCACAGTGATAGCCTGAATGAGACGGACTGGGGGATGTGCTGGGGGGGTCAGTATGTACTCAGTCATGGCTCAAACCTTAGTGCTGGAGTAGCTGTTTTTTTCTCCCCCTCTTTAAATGTTAAGATGTGATCCAGCACAGAGATAGTGGCAGGTAGAGCCTTGATGGTGAAAGTGGAACTGTTAGAGTTCATTTTCACTTTTATTAATGTTTATGCACCCAATCAGGGCCCTGCACGTGTATCTGTGTTTCAGTTATTAAAAGACAAGCTAGACACTAGTGTACAGGGGGAGTGTGTTATACTGGGGGGGGGGACTGGAACGTTTGCACTAATGTCACTTTAGACAGAATAGGACGGGAGCCGCATCCTCAGTCGTCCCTTTTACTGTCACAGGTGATAAGAGAGGCTGACTTAGTGGATGTGTGGAGGATGAAACATCCCTCTGTTAAACAATACACCTGGATGAGAATGCTAGATGGGGGCGTCAGTGCAGGCTAGACAGGTTTTACATGTCTGCTTCTTTTATTACTCGTGCAGTGAACTGTCACATCCAACCTGTTGGTTTTACAGATCATCAGCTAGTTTCTTTAGATTTGGTTTTATCCAACACAGAGAAACCTAGATCGTTCAGGCAGTTTAATGTTCACATTTTACAAGATTTGATTTTCTGTGAGAATTTTAATTTTTTTTGGATCAACTGGAAATCAAAGAAAGAGTCTTTTCCCTCCCTGAGTCAGTGGTGGTAGGAAAGGCTCAGATTAGAGTGTTCTGCCAACAGTATACAGCCTACTCCACTGCCAACATTAGGAGAGCTATAGAGCACTTAGAGAGGGAGATCAGAGAGTTAGAGAGTGTGTCTGCTCGAAATATAGAACAGTCCGAGTCCTAAAACAACAACAGCTTAACTGTTTTCTTCAGGAGAAAGCCAAGGGAGCTCTGATCAGGGCCTGTTTTACTTCCATGAGAGACATTGATGCACCAACCACCTTTTTTTTCAACCTGGAGAGGTCTGTGGGCCAAAGGAAGCAGATGGTGTGTCTGCGTCTCCCCGATGGACAGGTAATCTCTGAACCTGCCGAGATGAGGAGGCATGCAGTGTCCTTCTACACGGACCTGTTCAAAGCTGAAGGTTGTGACGTAGAAGCTGCTGATGAACTTCTTCAGGGTCTTCCACAGCTGGGTCCAGCCGAAAGTGACACCCTGGGCTCTGACATTACGCTGGAGGAACTGACCTCTGCGGTGACACAGATGGCCTCCGGCAAGGCTCCGGGCATAGACGGTTTACCTGCAGACTTTTTTAAACATTTCTGGAGTATTCTAGGACATGACTTGTTGGACATATTGATGGAGTCCTTTGGGAAAGGGACTCTTCCAGCTTCCTGTAGGCGTGCAGTGATTTCACTGTTGCCTAAGAAAGGAGATGTAACCCTGCTGAAGAATTGGAGACCTGTGGCTCTCTTATGTACGGACTATAAGATACTGTCAAAGGTTTTAGCTAACAGACTGAAGTGTTTTATCGAACTTCTTATTGGTACTGATCAGACATATTGCATCCCTGGCAGATCAATCGTGGACAATTTGTTTTTGATGAGAGACACTTTTGATGTTTGCAAACTGTATAATATAAATGTTGGTATTATTTCTATTGACCAGGAGAAGGCGTTTGATCGTGTGGATCACTCTTTTCTGGCTGCCACTTTGCAGGCTTTTGGTGTTGGGGAGCATTTTTTGTCCTGGGTGAAGTGTTTGTACAGTGATGCATGTTGTGTTGTGAAGGTGGGGGGAGGGCTGAGCAGACCTGTACCAGTTCAAAGGGGGATCAGGCAGGGCTGCCCTATCTCAGGCCTATTATACAGTATTGCCATCGAGCCCCTTTTGTGCAGACTTAGAAACCGGCTGAGGGGCCTGTGTCTGCCAGTCAGCTCAGGCCCCCCCGGTGGTTGTATCAGCTTATGCTGATGATGTCAGTGTTTTTGTCCAGGGTCAGCGAGATATCCAGGAGCTACAGGACAGTTTAGCTTTGTATAGGAAGGCTGCTTCAGCCAAAGTTAATTGGGATAAGGGAATGCTCTGGTTTTTGGACAAAATTAACATGGGATCACTCCCGTCACCGGACGTACTTCGTCTCACTGGAATAGTAACGGTCATAGTGAATATAAAATCGTCCCCATGTATCCGGCCAATGACGGGAGAGTTTTTGAAAGAGACAAAACACTGTTCCATACATTTAAAAACACTTAAACAATTAAACAATGTTTACCTGCCAACAAGCAGCAGTGTGCTGTCATTTCAAACATGTTACCCCACTGTTTAACACAGTT